TGAATTACTTACTTTTAATAAAAATCTGAAACAGACAAAAATTAATTAGACAACCATAAATCAGTGAATTACTTACTTTTAATAAAAATCTGAAACAGACAAAAAGTATTTAGACAAACATAAATCAGTGAATTACTTACTTGAAATCAAAACCTGAAACAGACAAAAGTAATTAATACAGAAAATCGAAGGATCAAGGGATGAAATCTCCCTCTATTCGAAACGAAACTCTTCAAAAATGGAAATAGTAGATTTTGAAAATCTCAACTCCGAAATAAAAAGACGAAGAGATTGAAAAACTTCAAGACTCGAAAGAAAATCACGTTGTTCGAAAATCTTGAATAGAAAATAAAAATCCGAGGAGATTAAAAACCTTAAAACCAAAATGAAACTAAAGCATTAAAAATCAATGAAATAATAAAGTAAGACAGGAGAAGAAATAAAGTAGAGAGGAGGCTTGAAAATTTCGAAGCTAGAAATAAAATCAGATAGAAAATTAGAGGCCCTACGAGTGAGTACAGGATGCAGGACACACACCATTCGCACACTCACGCATACTGTAATACATTGTAAATGCCCTACATGTACCTCTTATTCTAAAATTGCACTCGCATATAAAATTTTGAAAAAGAACAAAGGGATATGAAAGAAAGTTGGAAGAACTTTCTTTTAAATTTCGGGAAATTGAGAAAAAATGACAAACTATTACTACAGTATAATATATAAATTAAAAAATTGTGACAAAGATGAGTGCAAGTTAGAATAAGAGGTACTTACAATCTGCGCAGGCTTTTCGTCACAATTTGTGACGAAAAACCTGCGCCCGAGCCCACCCTTCCTCCCACAAGCTCGGAATTAAAAATCTAATGCACTCAACATGACTTACCAAAAATTGAATGCTAAAACAGATAAAAATTTATTAACACGGAAGTTTTAGAAGAAGGAACAACATAACTTACCAAAAAATGAAATCTGAAACATACAAAATTTTATTAACCTATACAACAATTGTAGGAGTAGAAGTGAAACGACGCTATCGAGAAACAAAAAACACAATGAAAATTACGAATTAAAAATCAATCAGCAATAAAACAATTCATTCAAAATCAATTCCTGAAACAGAGAAAAATAATTAACACATAAAATTGGGGAAATTAAAATCGCGAAGGGATATACAAATCTCGAATTTCGTAATAAAATCGCGAAGGGACATACAAAGGGATATCTCGAATTTCGTAATATAATCGCGAAGGGATATAAAAATCTCTAATTTCGTAATATAATCGCGGAGGGATACAAAAATCTCTAATCTCGAAATTTACTCGCGAACCACTATGCCAAAACACTTAAATAATCATTGCATAAAGTACACCAACACTCAATAACAGTTTGTAAAAACACATAAATAATCACTCCACAAAATACATTAAAACAGTAAAAAATTAATAAAACATTCAAATAACCGCACCATAAAACACAGTAATAAATCCGTATACACATGCACAATCAC